CTGCCAGGCGCCCGGAGTGGAGGCTCCGGCCCGGGCAGATTCCCCCCCCCCAAGCCCTCCTCGAGCCCCGCGGCCGACGCTACGGTCAGGGGAAGCAGCCCCTGGCGCTGGGCGGCTGCCGGCGGGCGGTGGTCCTGCGCCTCCGGTTGGCGGGACAAAGGCCTAGAGAATCCGCCGGGCTTCGAAGAAGAAAAGGCGTCGTCGTGTGGAAGCCGCATCCCGTGCGTCTGGAGGGGGCCCTCCTCCTCCTCCCAGGCCGCTGGCTAGTTCTCCGGCTCCCTGCCCACGCCGCTCCTCTTCCCACCTGCCCGGGAAAGCGCTTCCTTCCCCGCCTGCCGCCGAGGAAGAGGAACGAGGAACCGGACCGCGAACGCCCCTTGCTCTCCTCCGTCTGGAGTGGGGCTCGGGGCTGCTCCGACATTCCCCCGCCTCCACTTTCTGAGGCAGACGCCTGGAGGAAATGAGCGGGCTCCTCACGCCTTGGGGTCTTGGCGCAGCCCCCCCCCCCAATTGGTGGCACCTACCCTAAAACAAAGATTAGGTTCAACAGGGAAGGCAGTTGGCTCCTGACCAGAGAAGGGGGGGCAGAGGTTGCTGACCTAGAGAAGTTGGGGGGGCGCCTTGCATAGGGTGCAGCTATCCAGCCTCCCCACATCCTGACACCTAACAACTTTAGGTGGCAGAGTCAGCCATGAGGAGGAAGGTTTCATTCCCACACTATCTGGAGGCCCAGAGATTGAGGTGAAGAAATGTGAANGGGGGGGGGGGAGGACACAAAACAGTCTACCCTTCCAAAGGATGCCTCTGACCCACCCTTGACCTCTTCACCTGCATCTCCCAAATCAGGCCAGGGGTGGCTCAACCCCAGGATTTCGACAGCAGTTGGATTTTCGGAGGCTCCTTCTGCGAATCCTGTCCCAAACCCTCACCCGCCTATTTTAGTGAAAAAGAAGCTCCCCACAGGCAAGCCAACTGGACCCGTCTCACCTCAGAGGACTCTCCCGGTCCTCCACAAAAAGCCTCTGAACTGACCAAAGAGGAACGGCAGCTCCTGCTGTGCTGTCTTGGGCCCCTATAATGCGAGAGCCGCTAAGCCACCGAGGCACACTTGACAGGGAGGCAGTACGTAGCCATCCTGATCAGGGAGAACCCCATCCTCTGTGGAGTTCCCCCCAAGTTGGTGGCCATCAGTTCATCTTGTGGCGATGAAGTCCTTAACTTTTATTGAGTCTGAGTTTCTCCCCTTTTCCTCCCAGTGGATGACGACACCCCCATGAGGTTCTAAGTTTTATCTTTATCAGTGAGTCTAAGGAACAAACAAGAAGAAATTCTTACCAAGTTCCTGGACAAGTTCACAAAGCCTGGAGCTCGGATGACAGCAGGCAGAGAAAGGGACCCCCAGTGCTCCCCTCCCCTCCCCTCCCCTCCCAATCGATCTGCCATTGGCCTGGGAGGCTGGTGGCAATAAAGCGGATGTTAAAGCCATTCCCCAACCCCACCCCCAATCTAACGGTACAAGAAGCTGGCAGAAGTCTGCAACCGTTTCCCCCCCTCTTTATTGACTGATACTTCTCAGGCAGGTCTGGCAATTACATTGATAAATAATTGTTAAAAACAAACGGGGGCCCAAAGAGGTTGGAGTGAAGTCTGCACCCCTCCTCCCTTCTGCTGTTGCCCACCTTGACACAAAGTGGGAGGGAGGGAGGGAGAAGTGCCATCCGCAGGCAGAGGAAATGAAACGGGTGCAATCCAAGATCCAAGTGGAGGCCACGAGGGCTGCGGAGGGAAGCCGGTGGTGAGAAGAGGAAAAAAGCTGCGGCAGCACCAGAACGAAACAAAGCAGCAGCAGCAGCAGCAGCAGCAACCAGTTCTTTCCTCCCTGGGGTGAGCAGGAGGCAGGCGGTGGAGGCGGGGGGCGCGGGGGGGGGCCTGCCCGCACAGGGTGCTGCCAGTCTCTGGGGAAAAGGCCCCCTGAGCCCCCAACCCCGAGGGCTCACACATTGTGGGACTTCCTGGTGAGCTGTGGCTCCTCATCCACCAGTTTGGACTTGAGGTGCTCCTTGTAAGAAAGGATGTCTCCCGGCCACTTGGTGATGGTCCGCTTCTCACACACCCAGATCTCTTGGGCGACCTGGAAGCAAGCAAGAGCAGCCCTGTATGAGCAGCTGGGGCAGGCGAGGGGGCAGCCACGGCCAGGGATCATCATCAAGACCCGGCTCCAGTCTCTGCCAGAGCAGCAGAGAGAAAGCCGGGGAGCGGGCAGCAGCAGCACCAGTTCTCTGGCATCGGCACCCCAGCCCTCCAACCCTCTGGGCGGACTGTCTCTCTGGAAGCTAAGAGCCGCCCCCCCTTTCCCCCTCTTCAGCACCATAAACCAGAGAGCAAACCCCCAGGCGCTTCTCCAGCCATACTGGAGCCAGCTCCTTTAGAAAAGGGTGCTGAGCGCTATCTAGTGCTGAGAGGGAATCTCTCTCTCTCTCCCCCTCTCCAGTGCCGCTCCTCCTCTTTGCATGAAAAAAGAAAGGATCTTGTGACACTTGTCCATGCCAGGAGCGATCCCTTCCCCTTCACCCGCCCCCACCGCTGCCCAGGGTTGCCAGGGTGGTTTCCCCCTTTTCTTTTGCTGCCCTACCTCAACTAAAGTGTCTCTGGGGAGCCGTTTCCTACAACCCAGAAGTATTCTTGGTCAGCCTGACAGCATCCTTGTGCGAAGCCCGTGTGCCTTTCCACCCCCACCACATGTGGTAGAACTTCCGCTCCCATGGTTCCTGGCCAGCCAAGCTGACGGTGAGAGATGAGGGGACTTTCTTTCCAGCAATCCCTGGAGGACTGGAAGATTACACTTCGCCTGCCCCCGTTCTAAAGCTTTCTGCAAAGGTTTGGGGTTTTAAACTTTCTGAAGCTGAACCACAATGCCCTCCATACAGCAGCAACCCGCAACCCCAGAGGGCCCATGTTGGTCAGACCTGTTGGATGAGCCGGAAGTCGTGGCTCACGAGCATCATGCCCCCCTCGAAGTCATTGATGGCATCAGCCAGAGCATCAATGGTTTCAATGTCAAGGTGGTTGGTGGGCTCGTCCAGGAAGAGCATGTGGGGGTTCTGCCACGCCAGCCACGCAAAGCATACGCGGCACTTCTGCCCATCTGACAGGTTCCGGATTGGGCTCACCTGCCACAAAGAGAAACAGACAAACCCGCTTACACTTCACATGCCAGGTCAAATGCCTCCCCCTCCTCCAAAAGCTGCAGCAGGGTTATTAGCGGCCAATCCTAGAGTGCATGCTGTGGGAAGCAGCAGCAGCAACAACAACTCCAGTAAGAAATCTCCAGAGCCTGGTAAGGTGATAAAGAACTCTCAGAACCTCTGTCTGTTATTTTCTTGAAAACAAGCAGGATGGGTAAAGTGCTGGATGACTGAAGGAGGGCTAATGTCCTGATCTTCAAATAGGGCAAAAAGGGGGAACCAGGGAACTACAGACCAGCCGGTCTGACGTCAATCCCGAGGAAAATTCTGGAGCAGGTTACAAAGGAATCACTCTGCAAATACCTTGAAAAGAATGCAGTAATAACTAGAAGCTGACATGGATTCGCCAAGAACAAATTCAGCAAGACTAATCTGGGTTCTTTTGATTGGGTAGCCTGGTGGATACACAGCTGGTTAGAAAATCTCACTCACTATTAATGGCTCCTTCTAAAACTCCGGGGAGATAACAAATGGGGCGCTACTAGGCCCAGTCCTTGGCCTGCTGTTCTTCAACATTTTTACCAGTAACTTAGACAAGCAGGTGCAGGGAATGCTTATTAAATTCATGAATGACATAAATTAGGTGGAACAGCTCATGCCCTGGGAGACAGAAGCAAAAATCAAAAAGATCTTGATAAGCTCAAGCAATGGGCTGAAAACAACAGAAGGAAATTTAACAAGTTTACGTGCAAAGTTCTACACTTGGGGAGGGCAAATGCACAGTTACAAGATGGGGGATACTTGGCTCTGTAAGCGAGGATCTTGGAGTTGAATATGAGCCAAGAGTGTGATCTGGCTGCAAAAAAAGGCAAATGCTATTTTAGGCTGTATTAACAGAAGTATACTCTCCAAAACCCATTAGGGACTAGTTCCCCTCTATTCAGCACTGGTTAGGCATCATCTTGAGTTCTGTGTCTAGATCTGGACACCACACATCAAGAAGGATGGCAACGAACTGGAACAAGTTCAGAGGAGGGCAACAAAGATGGACAGGGGACTAGAAACCAAACCTTATGAAGAAATACTGAACTAACTGGGCACATTTACCCTTGAAGGAAAAAATGAGGAGAGACAGGATAGCACATTTCAAATGCTTGAAAGATTGTCCTACAGAGGAGGAGCAGGATCTGTTCTTGATCATCCCAGAGTACAGGACATGCAATAATGGGCTCAAGTTTCAGGAAGCCAGATTTCGGTTGAATGCCAGGAAAAACGTTTTAACTCTCAGAGGAGCATTACAATGGAGGTGGTGAGCGCCTCCAGCATTAAAAAGAAATTCAAATTTAGATAGACATCCATCAAATATACTTTGCCTTGGATTCCTGCACTGAGCCGGGGGTTGGACTTGATGGCCTTGGAGGCACCTTCCAACTCCATGATCCCATGAATTGAAAACTGCCTGCCCGGTTTGTTCCATTCTCTCAGCTGTAGCCCACCAGGCCCTAGAAAGTCTATCTAAGTAAACCCTATCCCGTTCCAGAAGGGCCTTGGGGTCCCTGCCTGTTCCCAGGGAGAGCTGCCACCAAGGAGACCGGGCTTTCTCTCTCTCTCCACTGCTCAGGGAAGTCCGAGTTTACCCTGGAAGAGCTTCTGCTCCCACCCTGTCCTGCTGTTTTCCCCTTCTCCCAAACAGAATCCTGGTCCCAAAATTTTGCGACATGGATCTCAGCAGGTGCCAAGGGCTCCCTGCTCTGTCCCTTTTGCCAGACCAACCTGCTGCTTCCCGGTCAACCCATAGCGGCCAATGATCTTGCGCATCTCTTCCTTTTCTTTGATCTCTGGGTAGCACTTCATCATGTACTCTAGTGGGGAGAGGTCCAGGTCCAGTTGCTCTTGCAAATGCTGAGTCAGACAGAGGAATAAACCAGGAAAAGAGAAGCAGATGCTGGTCAGGACAAAGGAGCAGGAGAAATGGAAATGCAGGCCCCCATTCCCTTCCTCTCCAGGCACCCAGCAGGCTGTCTCACTTTGGACCAAGAGAGGGGCACCTCTAGGGCAGAACGGCCATTCATGACCACTACGGATCCTTCAGTTTTCAGGCAGGATTGTCTCCCACCCACCCTCAAGATGCTGCTGAGTTCTTCTGCATGCAACACAGGGGCTCCCTACCACTGGTCTCTGGACCGCCAGTAAAGAGCAGGTGAGTATGAGAGATGGGGAAGCCCATCTGCAGATCTCATCCTGCAACAGATCTGCTTGGGGAGGACAGCAAGAGGAGCAGGTGCCCCACTCTCCAACACTCCTCTTTCTACTTGATGGCCTTGGAGGCACCTTCCAACTCCATGATCCCATGAATTGAAAACTGCCTGCCCGGTTTGTTCCATTCTCTCAGCTGTAGCCCACCAGGCCCTAGAAAGTCTATCTAAGTAAACCCTATCCCGTTCCAGAAGGGCCTTGGGGTCCCTGCCTGTTCCCAGGGAGAGCTGCCACCAAGGAGACCGGGCTTTCTCTCTCTCTCCACTGCTCAGGGAAGTCCGAGTTTACCCTGGAAGAGCTTCTGCTCCCACCCTGTCCTGCTGTTTTCCCCTTCTCCCAAACAGAATCCTGGTCCCAAAATTTTGCGACATGGATCTCAGCAGGTGCCAAGGGCTCCCTGCTCTGTCCCTTTTGCCAGACCAACCTGCTGCTTCCCGGTCAACCCATAGCGGCCAATGATCTTGCGCATCTCTTCCTTTTCTTTGATCTCTGGGTAGCACTTCATCATGTACTCTAGTGGGGAGAGGTCCAGGTCCAGTTGCTCTTGCAAATGCTGAGTCAGACAGAGGAATAAACCAGGAAAAGAGAAGCAGATGCTGGTCAGGACAAAGGAGCAGGAGAAATGGAAATGCAGGCCCCCATTCCCTTCCTCTCCAGGCACCCAGCAGGCTGTCTCACTTTGGACCAAGAGAGGGGCACCTCTAGGGCAGAACGGCCATTCATGACCACTACGGATCCTTCAGTTTTCAGGCAGGATTGTCTCCCACCCACCCTCAAGATGCTGCTGAGTTCTTCTGCATGCAACACAGGGGCTCCCTACCACTGGTCTCTGGACCGCCAGTAAAGAGCAGGTGAGTATGAGAGATGGGGAAGCCCATCTGCAGATCTCATCCTGCAACAGATCTGCTTGGGGAGGACAGCAAGAGGAGCAGGTGCCCCACTCTCCAACACTCCTCTTTCTGCGCTCTTCTCCAAAAGCACCTGGTGGTATCTGCCGATCTTGACATGAGAGTGTTTGCGGATCATCCCGTCGGTGGGCAGCAGCTGGAGGAAGGAAAAGATCTCTTGAGAAGAAGCACAAGCTGCACCCGTAGTCACCCCTGCCGGGGCCCAGCGGAGGGAGAGCCTTTGCCCAAGGCTGGGACCACCAAGCCCACTGGTTTTCTGGCCCTGCAGAGGAGGCTTACCTCCCCAGTGAGGAGCTTCAGCAGCGTAGACTTCCCAGCCCCATTGGGTCCCACAAGGGCCACTCGGGTATCCAAGTCAATACCGAACTCCAGGTTGTTGTAAATCCACGGCTGAAACCCACAGAAAGAGAAAGAGTCATTGTTTGAGCCGGTCATGAAGCAAGGTGCCCCTGGCCACTCCCTCCGGCCATCTCACTCACCCCATCCTTGCTGTATTGGAAGCTCACGTTCTGCACCATGATGACTGGAGGAGGGATCTTTCCACAGGATGGGAAGTAGAAGGAGAGTGTCTGGAAACCAAGTAGGGAGTCCTGTCACTCTCTTGGCCCCAGAGAGAAGAGCTGCCTCTCCTTCTTGCTCCCGGCCCTGGCCCAGGACATTAGGTCAGTGTCCCTCCTGGGCCTTTGCCTGCCCCGGGAAGTCAAGATCTGCCAGCCTTCTGCCTCACCTTGTCATTGACCACCCGCTCGGTTAGTCCAGATGCCATCATCTTCTGGAGAGTCTTCTCTTTACTCTGGGCTTGACGAGCCAGCTTGGCACTGCCGTGACCAAAGCGCGCAATGTAATTCTGCAAACCGTTCAGAGACTGTATGTTGGCACAAAGGCCTTGCAAAGGACGGAGACCAGCCCATCTTGCCCAGAGAGGACTACACGTTCGCCATGGCGAGAAAGGTCAGCCAAGGCTGCGCAGCTACCTTCATATGGCTGATCTGATCCTGCTCCCAGTGGAAGCGCTTCATCTGGTTCTCTTCCAGTTCCAGGCGTGTCTTGACGTACTGGTCATAGTTACCCTGAAGGGAGAAGTCCAGCAGGGGGCCTGATTGCACGAGGCTCTGGGATACCCCACCCCTTTGCAGACCGAGCACCACAGGCAGCTATGTGGGCCCCCCCCAAGAAGGGCACCCCACCCCCTTGTAGTAGGCCCATGCCCTGCAAGCAGGCATCAGGAGGGCCCCAAGCAGGGTCCTGCAGGAGAGAGCCTCCCTCTCGCCAGGACTGGGGGGGGGGCAGGTACAGGCTGCTCACCGTGTAATACTTGAGCTTGCGGTTGTGCATGTGGATGATGTTGGTGCAGACACCATTCAGGAAGTCCTGTGAATGGGAGATCAACACCAGGATGCGCTTGAACCTGCAAGAGGAAATGCAGAAGGAAGAAAGTGAGGCCTGGGGGTGGACGAAGGACCTCCACACTCAGCCCCCTCCCTCTCCCAAAGGTTTTCTGGACCCACTCACGTTTTCAGCTCTTCCTCCAGCCACACGCAGGCATCCAAGTCAAGATGGTTGGTGGGCTCATCCAACAGCAGCATGAAAGGCCGGATAAAGAGTGCCCTACAGAGCAGAAATCCGAATGAGGGAGCCGCTCAGCCAAAGCAGCCCCTCGGAGCCCTTGAGAAAGGAGGAAACCTCCGCCCTGTCCAGCCTGACCGTGCGGCCCCCACCTGGCGAGTGCCACACGCATGCGCCAGCCCCCACTGAAGTCCTTCAGCTTCTTCCTCTGCATGAGCGGGGAGAAGCCCAGACCATGGAGGATCCGCGAGGCCCTTGTCTCAGCCTTGTCTGCATCCAGTTCTTCCAGGCGCTCGTACAGCTCCATCAACTTCTCACATTCCGCTGGAAGCAGACGGAGGGGAGGGGCTCAGTGGCTGGAGGCTACAGGCAGACATCCCCATTGCTGCCTCTCCAACACCGCCCCCCCTCCAACGCTCACCCACAAAGAACCTGCTTGGACCCAGAATCCCACCCGTGGAGGGAGAGTCCTGCTGCCAGCCCTTCTCTGAACTCCCATGAAAGCACAGGGAGGAGTTTATACCATCTTCGTGAGCCAGGCGCTCCGCCTCCCGCTCCAACATGGCTCTCTCTGTGTCCACTTCCATCACACACTGCAGGGGCGTCTTCTCGCTGGGGGGCATTTCACGGGTCAAATGGTAAATGTCAATGTGTTCTGGAATGGGCACTTCCCGTTTCCCGATTGCCGATAGCAACATTGACTTTCCTACAGACAAAGGAAGAGGAGCACGTTGCTCCGATCACCCATGGGGGCCTCTCGGGGAGCAGGTCACTCTCTCCCCACATGGCCCCAGTCCCGAGATTCCTCCAGGGGCTTCCTTCAGAAGACAGTGACTGCCAGGCGCTCCTGTCGGGGGCAGCTGCGTGGCCTGGGACCTGCCCGTCTGATCCCAGAATGCCTGGCCCCAAAACAGGACAGCCCGCTTAAATGCACGCGGGCAACAGAGGGCAAAAGCTAGACCCCAGTTGGGAAGAACCCGGCAGGCATGGAGAAGGCCCAGCTGGCAGGCCCCTGAGCGGAATGGGCAGGTGCCCATGTTAGACTGTGAAGCCTCGAGTCCCTTCAGCCAAGAACACGTCACTCCTTCCAGGGCTCCCAAGAGCCTGTCCAGAGCTCACTGCTAAACATGCACAGGGAGGGAGGGGGCATCTTGGCACAATAAAAAAATCATTGCCTGCAAGTAGGGGGCTTCTCGAACACCCCCAACAGTTCTTCCTAAGGAAAAGCAAACAAAGGATTTAGACCCCTGGCTGGAGGAACACGTTATACCTGGATCTGACAGGCAATCCCTGCCTGCCTGCTGGCAGCCTCTTACACCTGCCCACCAGACTCTCAAAAACCCAGCAGGGCAACAAGGAAGAACCAAACCACCCGGGCCAAGGCCTCCAGTGAGCCAAAGAGAAGAAGGGCCAGCCCCTCCACCCACCCTGGCGCCAACCACCTCAACCCTTGCCCCACCAGCACGGGCACATCCCTGCTCCTCCTGTGCCACATCTGGGCAAACAAAGGCTGCACTGGGTCAAGAACGAAAGAAACAAGTCACAGGCTCAAGAGAGCCTGCACTCTTCCATCTCCAGCTGTCCGTGCAGCCATTCCCAGCCCCCATGGCCGCCTGCAGCCTCACCAGTGCCATTCAGCCCAATAAGGCCATAACGCCGCCCTGAGTTGAGTTCCAGCTTGGTGTCGCTCAGCAGCTCCTGCCCGTGGAAGGTGAGCGAGAGGTTAATGACGTGGACATCGGTGCTGTTCGGGTGGGAGGCCAAGACCCCGGTCACCGCCCGGGCGGCCGCCTTCTTCAGCTCAAACTCCTCCAGGGCCTTCGTGATGGCATCCACGTCTACGGGAAGCAGCAGGTAGGAGAGGGTTAGGGTTAGGGCGAGAGGGAGGGTTCGCCACACCTTCCCTGCCCCTCCCCCAAAAGAGAGCTTCTTTGGAGTTGATCAATGGGCTGCTCCTTCAGGTCACCTCCTGGGGCCAGCTGAGAGGTCTCTGTGGCCCATCCTCCTCTTCCCCCCACCCAAGGCGGCACCCCAAAAGGTGGGTTAAGAGAAGGTCAATTCCGGGGCCGGGTGGGGTCAAGGGGAGAGCCTCTGAAGGCCAAGCGGTCCTGGGACCAGCCTTGCTAAGAAGCGGCCATCGGATGACGCCGGTTGGGGCGCACCTTCA